CATAGAAGCTATAGAAGTGGGGCAACACAGTACGTGTGACGCCAACTACCAAATTTATTACGCCCTTTTCGCAAAAAAAGTTAATTACCCCCTCTGACCCAACAATTAATATGGATCGGATGGAGTAGATAAAATGATTTTCTCTTCTTCTTCTTTTTGTGGTGGAGATATAATGGGTTTTTTCAAGGGATAATATGTAGGTAAAGGATGATGATTTCTTAAATATTTTTGTAGGCATGTTCAAATCAATATGCCTCTTAAGATTATATATCAACCACCTCCTGAAAGAAACACAACACCAAACTACATCTTCAGAATTTGTCGCTTTATTTTTGAAGTTATTATTCAGCCTTCCTTTGAGTGAGAGATGATAACAACTTTTCAAATGTAAGACACAGTGGTCCTTCACAGAGCGAAACCGAAATATAAGTAGTAGCTGTTCAAAGAATTAATGGTCAGAGCCACATCTTATAATGTGATTTTTTTTTCTTGTCTTTTCTTCTTTTTTTAACCGTCTTAACTGTCATTTGGTTTATGTAATCCGTTGTAGGATTCTCCTTTCGTTTTTCGGTGAATAAAAGAAACTCATTGTTCGATGTGTAGCACTATTACTGAAATGTTCCTGTCATGTAAGAAAGCCATGTCAATGTTCGATGTGTAGCTATCATGTCACTATATGTTTATCAAAATAACCATTAGAATTATGCATGCATGACCATGACGCGTTTGTGCGACGTTAAAATGACAAATACGACCTCTGACTCATGCTCTCAAATAATAAAAACTCTGTTTCATGCAACTAGCTGGATGCATTCGCTGATCACTTTCATATCCAAACTCCAAAGTGAAAAAATTATGCAGCCTGAAAAAACATGAATGGATTGTTAATAGGAACTTTACACACGAATATTTCTGTAGGTAATAGAGATTTGAATGAGAAACCCCCAGTTTACAATCAACTTTATAGTGATTATTATATCAATTTTTGTACAGTGCAAAAACAAATTTGCAAATTGTTAGCTTCTGGAGAAATAACTCACTGTGACAATTCTTCTTCGTGGTGCCAATATTTGGTTCCACTTTTGCAACATAGCAATAAATCGTCATTTAACTATAACATCTGACCATAACAAAAAGGAAACATGATTGCAGCATAACCTTTATATGTTTGCAACACCGGCACTGTCTTATTACAACAAAATGAATGCGATAATTAGTCCATAGTCACTTAGTTGTTTGCAGCATTCTTTACCTTTTTGCGCAATAGAAGAACAAACCATTAGCAATACAACTATAAAGATCATGCATTATTAACTAGTATGTCATTATCCAGGCTTTCGTCTTGTTCACGCTCACCGCAGCGTTGCCATCCTTGCGGCCACCACACTGCACATCGTCGTCCACCATCGGGTGCCAGCACGGATCCCCAGGGCAACTTGCCGTGCTGTATGCCGCCATATTACTTCTTGCCATTGGCACCGGAGGCACACGTTTCAACATCGCAACAATGGGTGCGGACCAGTTCGCCAGCACGCACGAGCAGGACACCTTCTTCAACTGGTACTTTGTCTTCCTCTACGGCTCCTTCATCGTTGGGGACACGGCCATTGTCTACATCCAGGACGGCGTGTCATGGGCCGTGGGGTTCGGTGTCTGTCTCGCCACATCGACGTTTAGCTTGGTGATGCTTCTTCTGGGCGCACGGTACTACCGGATGCCCGTAACAAAGGGCAGCCCCTACACAGACCTGGCCCGCGTCGTCGTGGCTGCAGTGCGCAAGGCTAGCGTCCAAGTCGACGCACATGGTGGTGTGCGGTACAACGTAGGAGACGGCGCCTTCGTGACATCCGGCAGCGACGGGGCACCAAGTAAAACCTTAAGGTATGTAGGGAGTTGGCTGTTTCCCGAACAGGAGACTTTTTACCTCTGGATTGGTTAATCGTTCATTGTATCTTGTTCTTGCAGATTTCTGAATCGAGCTGCCATGATCACTGCAGCAACTGGAAGCGACAGCTCACGGGGTGAATCAGGCCGTGGCGCCTGGCGGCTGTGCACGGTGCAGCAGGTCGAGGACCTCAAGTCCCTCCTCAGCGTCTTCCCACTGTGGTCGTCCGGCATAATGGTGAGTGTGTCGATCGGAGTGATGCTTGGCATGATCATCCTGCAGGCCCTCGCCATGGACTGCTCGCTCGGACCACACTTCAACATCCCGGCGGGGGCCATCCCCGTCTGCTCCCTCGTCGGGTTCATTGTGGCCACCCCGGTCCTGGACCGTGCCGTCTTCCCTCTCTGGCATAGGATCACCGGCACCCCAGCGTCCCCGCTGCAGCGCGTGGGCCTCGGCCATGTGGTGAACGTTTCAGGCATGGTCGCCGCCGCGCTGGTGGAGCGCCGGAGGCTTGGCAGCATGCACGCGCACCCCGGTGCGCCCATGTCCGTGTTGTGGCTCCCGCTCCCGCTGAGCATCGTCGGGGCCGGAGAGGCCCTGCACTTCCCTGGGAACATGGCCTTCTACTACCTGGAATTCCCCAAGATGCTACGGAGCCTGGCTACGGCCATGGCGCCGCTGCTCATCGCAATGGGGTTCTACATAAGCACGGTGTTCGTAGATGTGGTGAGGCGGGTCACGGCGTGGCTGCCGGGGAACATAGACCAAGGGAGGCTAGACAACGTGTATTGGACATTGGCGGTGGCAGCGACACTCAATTTTGGCTACTTCCTCGTCTGCGTCTGGCGATACAAGTACCATAGCCGAGGGACGAGGGTGGCAATGTAGACAAGGATATTATGTGTGATTTGTCCATGAAAAATACTGGCAATATGTGTTACCAAAATTCTCAATTTTCTCTTCTCATTCATACAGTACAAAATGGGTGTATTGGGTAGAGCAAGGAGGAACAAAATGATAATGTACTGACTCCATTTTGTAAATAAAAGGTGTATTTTGATTCTTTAAGATTAATCTTTGAGAACGAATTGTTTTACGAATACAAATTTTATGTGAGGACATGAAATTTGTGCCACCGGGTTCTTTTAGATAAATACTTCTTATTGTAATTATTGATACGTGTTGGGATTATAACTACCAGGTATGACCCGCCCAGAAGGGGCCGGGTCAACCCTAATGACGGGTTACAAAAGAAGCCGAGTAATATTCAAAGTGACAGTTTATTAAGACTTGTAGAAGGCTTAAAGCCTAGGCGGCTTAAAGGCCCAATATTGTAAACCGACATATGTAAAGAAAGGTTGTAAGGAAAGGCATATGAAGACGTCACCGAGCCGGACACGTTTATGAGCCGGCCGGGACTCTGTAGGCCGCCAGGTGTCAACCCGTGTATATAAGGGGACGACCCGGCGGCGGCTTAGTGCAAGAAACAACAACTCGAAGCCAGGACAAGCATATTCGCTCCCTAGTCTTCGAAACCCCAGCAATTCCAACACAACTAGACGTAGGCTTTTACCTTCATCGCAAGGGGCCGAACTAGTATAAAACCTCGCGTGTCCTTTGCCCCGATTAACCCCTTTAAGCTTCCTAGTTACGATGGCCCTACGACTAAGTCCTTTTGCTAGGACATCTGCCGTGACAATTCCACGACAGTTGGCGCCCACCGTGGGGCCAGCGCACGGTGGATTTGAGTTCTTGAAGGGCAACTTCGAAGGGCTCAAGGGATACGATGTGGGCCAGATGACCAAGAGTCATCGCGTCAAGCTCTACATCGACGACGAAGGCTGGGGCCCCGAGGCCGGCCCAATTGAGTACGGATACCGGGTCCCCTTCGGCGGAATTCATGTCTTCATCGGCCGGATCGGCGAATCGGGCCCTGAGCCGGACGTCTGCACCAACATCATCGAGACGGCTCAGCGCGTGAGATCCGCCCGGGCCCAACCCGCCGTAAAGCGGACCTTTGTAGGTTGCATCCATGGAGGTGAGTTTTCCAAAGGATCCGTGGACGGTGGTGAGACGGCCATCTGTTCCGACGGTGAGTCGTCAGGCGAGACATATTCTTTGTATCAGCTGCAACATGGCGTGCTTGGGGGCTGTTCCGATGGCAGCAGTATTCCGGACCTCTCTGAGCCGCCGAATCGGGCCGGAGTTTTCATGGCTGGCACTCAACCCGGTCAGAATTCCACAGCAGCGGCAGCAATAACCTCCGAGTCGGCAGCAGCCGGGTCAGGAGACCCCGCGCGCCCCGGCTCAGACACTAATGGACCTCATGGATAAGTTGACAGCCCTATTGACTGCTGTAATGGAGCTGGCGGATAAGGTTCAGCATGACGCGGAGGTGGCACGGCTGCGCGAAGTGATGGCACAGGCCAAGGAGAATCTAGCGGCTGAAGAGGTCAGGATGGCCGCGGAGCGAGCGGCTTTGGATGCCCGAGCTTAGCAGCTTCAAGCGGAGACCTTCCGGCTCTCGGTGGATCTGAACGCGTCAAATAAGGTCATGAGGAGAAGGCACCAGAAAACGCAGTCACGTCTCCATCTGACGTACGATCCTAGGAACCTTTTTCACACACCCGGAGCTGGTGCAAGTAACCCGCCAGAGGCAAATCGGATCGCAACACCCGGGGCTGGGGCGTCGTTTCAACCGCGGGCCATGGAACCACCTCGTATGAATACCGCTCCGCCTCATTACACGCCAATACCACCAGGTCACTTTTCGAACCCTTTGGAGAATCTCATTGCTACATCGGCTCGTCTGGCGGCTCTTCCGATGGAAGGTGACTCTTCCGACAGCAATTGAAACGTGAAGGGTAAGAGAACTTCTTCAGACGGCTCTGGCACAGCAGGATGCGTACTCTTATAGTCGAGACAGAATCCATTCAACCCCTCGCCCAAGCTAGAGCCCAAGCTATAGCAGACATATGGACTCAGCCGCTATGTCAAGCAATGCTCAACACCGCAACCAGCCACGCAGGCATGAGCCGGTGCAGGATGGAGCCCTTAATTTGGCGGATCAAGAGAGAATCCGGCAAGAGGCGGAGCAGGCGGCTCATCAGGCTTTTCTGGTTTATCCAGCAACCTCTGCCGAGGCAGGAGTGGCCAAGAGAACCAGAGGTGTCCCTTGCCTGGTGCCGGCTATACGCAATGAGCGCTTGCCAAAAGACTTCAAGGGGCCTCGCAAGGTGCCTAATTACACGGCCGACTTGCAGCCTGGGGCATGAATTGAAAGTTACGAGATGGCGACGGAGCTATTGGAGGTCAGCGATGCAGCAATGGCTAAGTATTTCACTATGATGTTGGATGGAACGACTCACACTTGGTTGAAAGGGTTGCCACCCAAATCCATCGGCTCATGGGCGGAGTTAAAGGCCCGGTTCATTCAGAACTTCAAGGACACATGTAAACAACCCATGTCAATCATGGACCTGACTAGTTGTAAACAAGAGGAAGGTGAGTCCACGACCCATTGGGTGTGTCGGGTCAAGGAGATAATACATTCATCTGATAAGATGGATGCCAGCTCGGCGGTATTAATGTTGGAGAAAAAATGCCATTTTGAACCTCTGAAATAGAAGCTGGGGCGGCTCAAGCGTGACTGTAATGACATGGGCCAGTTGATGGCGGCTTTGGTCAAATATGCTGATTCTGACAGTACCAAGGATCTCGTGTCTAATGAAGAAAAAACAGGAAAGGGAAAGAAGAACGGCAACGGCAAGGGTCACTAGCATAATCCGGCGAATCAAGGGGGTAATAAATGTAAGGCTGCCGAGTTTGTGGCTAACACCAATACACATGGCAACAACCAGCGACACAAGGGTAGACAACCTCCTCGGTCAGGCGGGTCAGGTCCCACCCTCGAGCAGTGAATGAGCCTTATCCAAGACACGGCACCCGGGAGTAGCCAGCTACCCATCTGTGGAAGGACTGTACAATCATGAAGGCATTTAAAAATTCTAACATGTTTGATGGTAGCCACGGACCTGGCGACGGTTCAGGAGGGAGCGGTTTTCAGGGCCCGGGCGCCGGGTCAGGCGGAGGCAGTTTTCACGGTCAAGGCCATCTGGGTAACCAGGGTGGCTATAATCAGCAACCCGGCCAAAATAATCAGCAACAACAATCTGGGTATCAGAGTAACCCAAAACAGTTGAATGGTGGGCAGTACCACGTGTTTACCACTAGCTTATGCAAGAGGGACCAGAAGCTTCATAAGAGGGCCGTTAATGCCGTTGAGCCGGCAATTCCACGTTATTTGAGGTGGTCAGAACAGCCTATTGTGTGGAGCAGAGAAGATCACCCTCCCCGGGTTGATAATCCGGGTCATCTGGCCTTGGTGGTGGCACCTCAAGTTGGTGGATCTAAGTCCACTAAGGTGCTTATGGACGGAGGCAGTAGCATCAAGATCCTCTATTATGAGACGTTTCGTCGGATGGGGTTGACTGATAAGATCTCAAACAGTCCAACACTGTTTTTCATGGTGTTGTTCCTGGTAAGTCGGCATACCTAGTTGGTAAGATTGAACTGGAAGTAGCCTTTGGGGATGAATATGATTCCAGGGCTGAGAAGTTAACTTTTGAGGTGGTAAATATCAAAAGCCCATATCATGCTCTGTTTGGACGGCCGGCTTATGCCAAGTTCATGGCTCGACCGTGTTATGTGTATCTACAGCTGAAGATGCCAGGTTATAAAGGGACCATCACAGTACATGGGAGCCAGGAAATAGCCCTGTAATGTGAAGAAGGGGATGCCGCCTACGCTGAGTCTGTTTGTGCGACAGAGGAGTTGAAGTTTTATAAGGATAATGTTGACCCGGCAGACATGACATCTTTAAAGAAGCCAACTACGGAGTATGAACCGGTGTTGAAATTCAAGTCAGCTCATGACACTAAGACTGTTGATTTTGTGCCTGGTGACTCATCCAAACAGTTCATTATCAGTGCCAACTTGGATCCAAAATAGGAAAGCGCGCTCATCGAGTTCATCCGTGAAAACCGGGACATCTTTGCATGGAAACCTTCTGACATGCCAGATGTCCCGAGAGAACTCGCTGAACACACTCTCAATATTGATCCGAAGTTTAAGTCGGTCAAGCAGTTTCTTCGACGGTTTAACGAGGAAAGGCGCAAGGCCATCGGAGAAGAGGTGGCCCGGATCTTGGCGGTCGGGTTCATTGTTGAAGTTTTTCACCCAGAGTGGTTGGCTAACCCGGTGCTGGTACTTAAAAAGAACGGCACCTGGCGTATGTGTGTGGATTACACCGATTTGAACAAGGCTTGTCCGGCTGACCCTTTTGCTCTCCCTCGTATTGATCAGATCATTGATGCTACAGCGGGTTGTGAGCATTTGAGTTTTTTGGATGCATACTCAGGTTATTATCAGATCAAGATGGTAGTTAAGGACCAGGAGAAAACAGCTTTCATCACTCCGTTTGGAGCCTTCCGCTATGTGTCTATGCCCTTTGGGCTTAAGAGTGCCCAGGCGACTTATCAACGGTGTGTACAGAATTGCCTTCACAATCAGATTGGGCATAATGTGCATGCTTATGTGGATGATATAGTGGTGAAATCCAGAGAAGAAGAAACCTTGGTAATAGATCTGAAGGAGACATTTGATAACCTCCGAGTTTACAAGATGATTCTTAACCCGGCCAAGTGTGTTTTTGGAGTCCTAGCTGGCAAACTCTTGGGCTTTTTGGTGTCTAATAGAGGTATTGAAGCTAACCCGGAGAAAATTAAGGCAATCACGTCTCTGGCCAAACCAGTGTGCATCAATGACGTCCAGCGGCTGGCGGGTCGCGTCGCTGCCTTAAGCCGGTTCATAAGCCAGTTAGGGGAGAA